GGGAATCCGATTTTAGGGGAGGAGAGGCTAACTCTCTCTTGTTTCTTTTATAAAAATTCAAATCTTTTATAAAAATATCCAACTTTTTATAAAATGTGCACCTTAACCTAGTTTTTATGCATAAAACTCTTGATTTTTGACTTATAAATCAAGGGTAAATGAAAATAAATAAATCTTTATTTTTCATTGAATTGTATTTCATAATAATTATTATGATAAGATAATATTATAAGGTTCATAATTGCCTTTTATAGGACTTTTAAGGTTAAAGTTTATAAATATGAGTTTTTAGGGCTTTTAGGGTTTTGGAGTTTAATAAACTTTGAATATCAAAATAAATTGAATGTTTGAGACTTCAAATTATCTGATGGTATTATAAATATTTTATAGTTATAAATAATGTTTATAATTTATTTTTATCGGTTTATTGGCATTCTATGTATTGATTCCGAGATTCAAGCGAAATTGAGGAATCAAGTATACTAGTCGTAGTCTTCAACTTTGACTTAAGTTTTAATGAAACTTTGAACTCACTTCTACTTCTAGGTCAAGTGCATGATGTGTGTATATGATGCATGAAATGTTGTTCGAGTCAAAGAGTAACCTGAATATGGATAGTCACTACAGTTAAGTAGTCGTAGAATTCACATACCAATGTGAAATCCAAGCACATTATCCATTGTCTCTATCTGTTTCCAAGATTCCACTAGGTTATAACTTAGCTTCTAGTTACTAAGTCTAATATGTGTAGTGCCTATATGTGTAACTAAGTTTATTCAAATCTAGAACTAACTCGAATTTTGACGGTTGTCACAATATGCATCCTCATTTGGTGATAAAATAAGAATCTCAAATCCATATGATTTCTTTCCTGCTCAAAATTGCCAAAGCATAAAAAAACTTTTGTATCATATGCATACTTATTCAATTATTTATTAATATTAAAAAATATATAAAAAAAGAAAAAACTAAAACCCAATAGTAGTTATGTCAGTTATATATTACCTATCACCATTTTCATCAACATCTATTATAACCAAAAAACAATATTAAAGACATTCAACAAAAAATTATGAGCATTTCAACAAATCAAATTTATATCCAAAAAATGAAAGCGCATTGCCATGTCACCTCTAATATACACAAACAATTGACCCTGGTTTACTAAAATAGCCTCTTTAGTACTTAGAATTGCTAATGTTTCCTTGCAGTCATGTTTCTCACATTACAACCTACAAGAAGTAGACCTGAAAATGTAGAAAACCATGGAGTTAAGCAAATCAAATTTCATATGTGGTAAAACCACTTAAAATCTCTAGATACAACAATGTTTCAATCATGTAAACAATGTTGTCATGGGTCAAAATTAACTATATTGAAAAGGTAATAAGAGCAAAATACACCGTCATTAAATCCTACACACTACCTACTACCAACTTTGATATATCAAGATTTGCATGATATTATATACTTGTCTATAAATAAAATATAGCCAAAAGAATTCACCTACAAAATTAATTTTTCCCTACCATTCCATTCACCAGCTAGTTAGACTTCTTGCCTCACTTCTTATATATTTTATGTTATTTTATGTTAAAACTATATGATCATATTCTTTTGTTTAAAAATCAACCAAAGTGTGTGAGAGGCTGTGGTGTTGTGATTAATATAAGTATCAAATTGAGATTGAAGTTACACAAGTGGTTTACAAGGAAAACTCTTGATCCTTGATAGGATATCCAACATAAAACCTTGGGAGGTGATAATAACACCTTTCTTCTTTGATTTTATTGACTGAAGATTAAATTATAGAAAATGATGAAGAAATGAGTACAAGTATTTTAGTAACTCAAGGTGTCTAAGGTGTCAGCTAATTGTGCCGTTGTGTGCATGTTACAAGTGTGTATATAGTCTAGGTTATGTAACTGAAAGTCTAATATTTTCAGGATCCTGTTGAACTGGTATTTTCAACTTGCTTTGACTTGGTATTCCTTGGTTTTAAGACTGGTTATAGTGGTTGCTCGTGAATGAATCTTATGGTGAAAATTTTTGCACATGTAAGAAATAAACAAGAAATATAACCATTAAACTTGTTAGGAAATAATAATAGCGAGACTCCTATAGGAATCAGGCACTTGAATACGTTTTAGGATCTGGAACCTTAACAATTGCCCCCAAATTATACCTACAAAATAATTGAATTAATTTCAAGTATTTAAAGTGTATTGTTTTGGTCAATAATTGATCAAATTTAATTCGACCAAATTCTTTGAGAAGCTGTGGTGTTAGTGTAAGGTAAGTATCAAATGGTAATCAAAGTGAGACACATGAGTTACAAGGAAAGCCCTTGATCCTTTGTAGGATCTCTGACATAAAACCTTAGGAGGTGATAATAATCACCTGCCTTGATATGTTTTATTGATTTTAATCTGAAAGATTGTGAAAGTAATACAAGTACAAGAGTAATGCTAGGGATAATCGTGTGTGCTGTGTTCTAGATACATATGTTATTTATAGTCTAGTGTAAGTAATAAGAAGTCCGATAATTTCGGAATCCTTCGAAATCAACATATGAACATTTGACTTAGTATTCCGGGTCTTTTGCCTAGTTGAAATGACTCCCCATTAAGAATGGTTCTTGTGTTGATTAGTTTTGCACATGTGAAAAAAATAAACAAAATATAGTCATTACAAATGTTAGAAATATTAGTGGTAACAGTCAGGATCCAGGGCTATGTTTGAGGCTTCAAAAATATTTGAGGACCCTGAATATGATTCAATGATCCTGCCCCTAACGTGTATAATTTAATTAATTGGAAATAAAGGATTTGAAACTCAAACTCCAACAGATAGATTTGTATCCGTTCAAAAGATATGATTATGTTGTCAAATGACTTCTCAATCCTCTGTTATCCGCATAAATAGGGGTTAATGGTTATCGATTTTCTTTTACTACTTTTAGATCTCTTTTAAACGTTATCAGTTATCTTGAAGGTAAATTTGTTTTTCCTTTCTTCTCATTTTTCTTGTTTGATAATCATGGGTAAAAAGGCACTTTGATCTTGCTCAAGCATCCTTACTATTCTCGACGAGCACTTTATCGATCAAAAGATCCTCTCTTACGAAGAGCCTTACTCTTTTTGATGATAACGACATTAAGTCCTTGAAATCGACCGAAAGTTTTCCTACCGACATCATTTTCATGCCTTTTGATGCTAAGGACAAACCTGGATTTGTCTTTCCTACTTGGGTTTTACATACCTTTTTCTGGCATCATCTTTGAGTTCATCAAAGTTACAAAAATTTCTAATTTTCATACTATGCTTGTGATACGGAGGATCCTTTTTTGGATCGATCAGATGAATCTGACTAAAAACATTGGCATAAGGTTAACATAATTGGCCAATGTTTATGATCTACAAAGTTTTGGATCTTCCTATTTCCTGCTCAAAGTCAAAACAAACAAATCACATTTAATTTTAAAAACAAAAAGATGGTGCCTGAAAAGAAAGTTTTTTCTTTGTGAAATACAACTCTATTCCCAACAACGATCTCATGCAAATAAATTGGGTTTAAAAGGGTAGGATTTTATTTATTTATTATAAGGATCCCGAAATTCACACATCCTAATTTTGTTTGATTTGACGCAACTTTCAAGTTTGAGGAAGTTGTTCAAGCTATTAAAGATACTGAGGAGAAGATTGAAAGCTTTCTCTGTTGGCCTAAGGCTGAAAGATCTTTCAAGTTTGACCATTCTAACTTCCAAGAAGATTCATCCACCACTGCTCTGATGTGTATGGGTAAGGATCCTTCTTGTTTCTTTTCGGGAATCTCGAATCGATGAGAGTTCATTGCAATTTTCAGGATCCAAGGTTACATATTCTAGTACTCACTTCTTACTCTCAGAACTTGATGAGGCCATGTCTAGCGGTCAGTTCGTTCCTAAGAAGGAGAATACATCTTCCTAGAGCACGCATTAGAGATCAAGGAGGTAATTGTTGAGTTTAAGAGTACACTACTAAAAAAACATCCTTTTACGACGCTCATTGCGCTTCGTAAAAGGCTCAGACGACACACAAATGCACGTCAAGGAAGGTCCTATCATAAAGAGAGACGATGCGCTTTTGCGCGTCTTCTATAGACGACGCGCATTTACGACGCTCATTTACGACGCAAAATTACGATGCGCGTTTACGACACGCAATGCGTATCAAGGAAGGCCCTATCATAAAGGAAGACGACACGCATTCGCGTGTCGGAACCTTACGACGTGCGTGTTGATGACACGCAATGCGTATCAAGAAAGCCCCTGTCAAGAAAGGCCATGTCATAAATGAAGATGACACACATTTTTGCGTATGATAATTTTAAATATTTAAAAAAATTATTTATAGATTTACTAATTTTCAAATTAAATTTGTATTTAATGTCTCATAATAGAAAATAAATATCATATACAAAAAATACAATCCATTGCATAAAATTTAATGTCATACAAATAAAATACCATAAATAAGAGGTTTTCCCTAACTATATAACCTAATGCTATAAAGCTATAAAGGGGCACCTTCTTGTTTCAGTAACTCATCATTAAGCGATCTAAAGAAGCTCTGAAACCCTGTCATGTATCCAACCAATCATCATGTCTCTTAGCTTCAATATCAATCCCAACTCTTGATAAAAGACAACACGGAAATCCTACACAGTAAACATATATGTCAGTTGTACAATATCAATATCAAATAATTAATAATACACATGGTATGTATGAGAGTGGAATAAAAATGATCTACCAATAGTCATTTTTCCTTTAAAGGTATCTTTAGCAACTGCAAGTTTCTAGTGATCAAGAATGTACAAAATGTCAAGGAAGTATGATTGATTGTAAGACAACTTTGTAGTAATTATATTTGTACTTGAAACACCAAGCAAGGAAATTTGGAAACAACATGGCTAAGAAGCTTTACCATTTCAACTTGACTAGTGATGCGATTCTCAAACTATTCCATGACGTTACTTAGCACAGATTCTACAAGCTGCATAAGCAGAATAGTATCATAGCAAACATGAGAAATCAGTTGTGGTGACACAAACTTGCAAAACACCAAATTACACTTACCATGGGAACCTCATCAGGTTTCTTATCCAATAGAACTGCATGGACAAATATGTTTAATGAGAATAACGTTTTTGTGATGATTTTTCAACACATACATTTTTGTGACGATTTTAATATTTTAATAAATAGAAAATCATACAGATTAACGTTTTAATAAATAGTTCCTGCAAAGAGACCACACAGATTCACATTTTAATAAATAAAAAATCACATCTAAAATACTTGGCCTTTCTATTTCATTGCTTACTAGTTGACTGAAAAGTATTTCGATTTACACGAGCAACAAAACAAATGTAACATTCTATAAACAAATACTTTAATAGACAATCTCGTGCCACTTTTCAATAGACGATCTCGCCTGCTGATGTGGCATCCAGATAATAGTCAAAGAGAGGAGAGAGAGAGAAATACTTGATCATGGGCATTATAGCAACAACAATTTACATACTCATAGTGTCCTTGAAGTGTCATACTACCCTTCCCAAACCAAACATCAAATGCCTATAAAAGCATCCAGATAGAAAACAAATTTACAAATGAAAAAATATACTCAAATTGACTACTCTTCAAGAAACTTAAGGTTGCGTTTGTTACATGGGAGCTTTATAATTATAGGGATATTTCTGATGACAAGGATAAGGAGGGCATTTACATATCAATGCTATTCTTGCATTTAACTAATTTTGAAAAGAAAAAAACCTGCACATAAAAGATACATGCTATCTTCTATGGCTTCGAGGCCCATAACAACAAAAAAATAGATTTAAGATGAAAGTGCTGGAAAAACAGCATTCATATCAATGTACTCTGATAACATCATTAACAGGATTAACCCACTAAAGAAACACACAACAACAAAAAAAATATATCAATTATTATAATTATATTTTACACCAAATTCATAAATAAATTTGCATTCTTGAAAAACATTAGTTTACATGATTACTAACCAGTTTACCATGTGGTACCCAACACCTCTAAATGAGATCAAATGAGTATTAGATTTTTCATGTTCATTCTTTGCTTTAACATTATTAACCTAAAACACAAAAATTAAACCATGCTTCAAACAAATAAAATGTTATAATCAACTTCATTCTATTAATAAATTCCAACTGTCCAGTGGTATCCATAATTCCATCAACAACAGGTTCATTGTAGCTTTTATCATCGGAATTACCAACTCCTAAAGATTCCAAGCTAAAAAGGGAATCCACAATTCCCTGGAATTCATTAGGCACATCTACTTCAACCCATGTTTCTTGATCAAGCACTGCTTTCAATTTTGTCATCTATAATAACAATAATAATATTATTAATCAAACAAATTGTTGTTTACCTTCTCTGTTGCAGTTACAAATTCTTGACACGTTATATATTTGTAAAAAGTCTTTAAGCCTTAGTCTTGGATGCAAAAGAGCACGAACACCAAGAAGTTTTGCCCATCTTCCGTGAGCTGCATCACAAGCTGCAAACACTGCTTCTGTGTTTTCTCTCAATACATCAGCTCTGTTAAATGACACAGTTACCCCTGTTAAAAAATTTCTAACAAATAAGAAACACACACACACACACACACACACACACATATATATATATATATATATATATATATATATATATATACTAGTAGTATACCCGCGCGATGCGGCGGCGGCAGATAGTTCCTTTCGGTAGATATTTTTTATGCGGCGTTTAATTTTCTTTTCGTAGTTTCAGCCTTCTGGCAGATTATTTTGTTCTGGATAGTTCCTTTCGGCGAATAATTTCTAGACAGGTACATAGATGCACATAGATGCTCGGCGGAATAAATCCTATCCGTTGTCATCTATTGTTCTGCTTTTTATTTCATGATGGGGCGACGAAAAATTATACTTTTAGCAATATATTTGTTTCCGTAATCGTTTTTTGTTGCAATTAGTTTCTTTACGGTAAATTGCTTTGCAACATTATGTCATCTATTGTTTACTTTTCTTTTTAGCTTATTAATTTATACAATGAAACTCCAAAGCCTTTCATATAGCCATGGAAAAATCACTTCGATTAAATTATATATAGATTTTATGATTATTTGGTATAAACATTTATTGAATGTTTTATTTTCCGACGAAAAAAACTTAATTTATCATCGAGATACGTATAATGTGTTCATTAGAATACAATACCATGTAATTTGTACCTGGCAAGTCTTTTTAAAAAATTTAAATATTTTTTAATAATTGAACTACTACATATTCCATATATAATATATTTTTTGTTTATTTGATTTAGAAAACAATGGTATTTTATAAATAAGATGAAAAGTGTTTTTTTTTTCTTAAAGCTTTATTATTATAAAATCAGTCATCTTTTAAAATTGCTTATTCATAATATTTATATTATGCCTTGGTAATTTTATATTTGAATTTAAAATAAAGGTAAACGTGGAAACCAAAATTATAAACATGTTGTATAAATATGGACAATAAAAAACATCATAAAGTTTTACACTTCCTACTACCATCAATAGAATTTCAAAATTTTAAGTGGTTTATACTTCCCATAACTATCTAAATATCTACAAAATTTTAAAACACAACTATTTTATTTACAAAAAAAAATAATTACACTGAAGGTCTCTATGTCTTTATGTTTTTCCAATGTGTTGTTCCCTTATATGGCTGTTTTGCATTTTTTATTTAAAATGACGAACAAATACATAGGTTCAAAAAAAGTAATGTTTGTGAGTCCCATTTTATGGAATTTGAAACCATGTTAACGTGTTTGAAATGTATATATTCGTTGGCATAAATTATAATAAATATATAAAATAATGAAACCATGTTAATATGTTTGAAATCTATATATATATTCCTTTGGCATGCTTTTTAATAAATAAATAGAATAATGAAAACATGTTAAATAGTTTGAAATGTATATATTCATTTGGCATAAGTTATAATAATCATATAAAATAATAAAGTATGAATATAAAATACAAATGAAAATAATTTAAGAATGGAAGGGTTATTTCGGTACAACCGATGCCTTTTTTTTGTAATTATCACTCTCAACATTACGTTCGTTCCTCCAAGCACCAGACATAAGTGTAGCAGTGTAAACTGTCTGTTCAACGTTACATTTTAACAGATGTATTGTTCTTCTATTGTTGGAGCCCCAACCACCAGCATATGTATTCAAATATAATTTCATCTCTTAATAGTGGCCAATGAGCAAATGGGGATTCCCACCCTTTCTATTGTTGGAGATAATCCTGAAAGAACTAAAAAAATTCAACATTGACTTTCAAACTTATAATAAATAATAATTAAATATTTGAAATTCTCTGTTATTTGTAATTAATTTTTGTAATAACAAAAAAATGTCACAAAAATTGAAAAATCAGTTATAATAAGGGACGAAATTAGTCATTTTATTTGGAAACATAACAAAAAATGTTACAAATACCTCAACACTCCACCTTTGGTTTCCAATCTGTTCAACAACTTGAGATAGATTTCAAAAACCAAATTCAGTTGATTGTATTTATTGGAGCATTGGATAGTTGGATTGGATTTGATGACCTTGTTTTACCGGCATTTCCAACATCCCTCTACTGTTGCAAATCTTATGGTAAAAGTATCTCACTTCTACCCATTTGTTAACAGTATATAAAATTAGGGATTATTGATCAATTGTTTTGGTGACATTACGTTAAAGATGGTGTGATCGTTTATCAGTTGTTCTTGAAGGAGTTTCTTAAGGATTTTGTACTTGTTCTTTTGAAATAGATAATGATATCTCTTTATAGATTCGACAATATGACAAACATTAAAGTTTATATATGTTTTTAGAGGAATTTGTCTTTTACAACTGAAATAGTTACAGTTATAATGAGTTTAGAAAATTGGGAAATAAATTTGTATTAGAAATCATTTTTATATTGCCAAACATTTTTTGACTTATTGACTTTTATAAAAATCAATAAGTTGTTTTTAAATAAAATCCCAAACACTCTCTTAATAAGCTTTATATTCATTTTTGGCATTCTATCTTATATCTGACCAAGTAGTCGTATTTTTTCATAAAATGTTATTTTCTTGCATATTAGTGTTTTAATTTGTGTTATTCCAAAAAATTGAAATTATTTTTTGAAAAAGTAGAATGTTTTAATAAGAAAAAATAATGAAAAGTGGTAGACTATAATAAAAAAAATGAAAATGTAAAAACTAAGATGCAGAGTCAGTTAAGATGCCTAAACTTGGGGGTAATTAGGTAATTTTATATTTTTCAAAATCATCATTACTTGGGTCATGCCTTCTAATAAACCATTGCCAACTCTTACTTCTTCAACAACATTTGAGAATGCTTTCATAAATTTGTGAGTCAAATTTGGTTGCCAACCGACTTTATAATAGAAGAATGTCTAAATTGACCATAATACCCTTGTTTCAAAATTGTATGAAATCTTTTGGAAACATAACAGAAGAAAGTCTAAATTGGAAAAACGTACGAAGAAAGTCTATGCTAGCTACCAGCAACACAGGTAAGACTCGATGAGCACTAAAGCATACAAAAACAGGTAAAAGCCAAATATGTGAGTTTTAGATAAACTAAAATATGAAAAGGAAGAGCATGGGAACTTACACCTTCAAGCATGCTTAATTCAATACCTTCGGTCACAACATCATCACCGCTTCCGCCACCAATCCTATCCACCCCAATGCGAGGTTTTTACTGATTCTCCCTACAACCTAATTACACCACCATATCACTACTAAATATTGATACATTCAAATTCAAACATATATGAAAATAAATGTTATTTGTAATTGACAAAATGAAGCAGAGGTGGTACTTGTACCTCCAACGAAACACCAAAGATAAACACCGGATGATACTTCAAGTGAATGTTTATAATGGTCAGGCTGATTCTCAGCAATAGATCAGGATCTTCTACTTCTCATCCATTCGATCTATAAAAAGTAAAAAATAACAAAATTATATAAAAAATAAAGCTACACACAATTACTATTGAAGCATACTGACAATCAAGTAACAAAAGTAATTTTATTTACTAAATTATGTAAAAAAGTTGTTATTTATGATTAAGAAATATAAAGTTCATGGTCAAGTACGTTGCTATTACGGGAAATTTTCCTAGAAAACAATTGCAAGAATAAATAATTAACGAAATAAAAATAACTAATTAATCATATATGTGTTATATTTAGCATCCGTAAACCAATTACACAACCGCCAATAATATTATATAATTAAAAAGTATTATATTGATAAATTATTCTACACAAATTACCAGAGATCCAGTTGCTGAAAGTCGTTGGGGAGGCGATCCCAGATGTTGGAAGTCACTGGGGAGGCAGAGGTGTAGAGGCAAGGACAGTATTGTCATTTGACTCGCACAAATCTTATGTCAACTTGTGCATAGATTCGTAAATAGGTGAATTTGCATCTTTTCGTCCGATGTTACAAGAAATGATTATGGAGGCTGCAAAAGTGAAAACTGGTAAACTATCGAAATACCCATATATGAAGTTTCAGCAATGTGTAGAAGTGATGAGTGAAAGAGTAAACCTGATTAAAAATTGGAAGACATGATTCACCTTTCTAAGACTTGGGAACAAATTATAGCTAATTCCAATCCTTTGCAAACATCATAGTGTCCTGGCATGCATATAATATTTTTTTAATTATATTACAACCTTGTTACCTAGAAATAACTTGAAAATTTGTCTAAATAGAAAAAAAAAAAAAAAAGATGTTACTTATTGACCCGACTCTTTTATCTAAATCCAATGCTTAAGTGGGTTCATGTCTTGGAATCTAAAAGAAGCGACATAATTTCTTAGCTATAAATCTTTATCATAATATCTATAAGATTAAAAGGATTAAAGGACAAGTTAACTTTTTCTTTAAGTACCTGAGTGGCTTTTGAAGAAACAGAGTCACCACAGAAAAAGTGAATGTCTGGATGAGTGTGTCCTTCGCTGCTTCTTTTGGACTAAAAAGGGAGATAAGGCCATTGACAATTTCACCCTTTAGCATACGCCTTTAAAACTTCAAACAAAAGCTGGAAATGAACCTAAAAAGTTACGGTTTTTACCTCAAGGATGGGGAATAAGAGAAATAGGAAGCATCAATAGTTACAACCGGACAAATCTCAGGATCAGAGAAAAACATAACCTGATTAAAAAGAGGGGCATTCAAGCGATGGTAGCTGGAAAAATAGTAGGAATGAGGAATGGTCGTGGTAGGGTCCAATCGTCTCCATGAGTAATGAAATCCAATACATACACAAAATTGAAATGAAATTAACATGTAAACGGAACTAAAATCCACAATGAAATCAAATTAACATGCAAACTTACAACTTACATACCGGAAACCATCAAGTTCTTATCAGATAAAAATTAGACAGAAGAAAGAAGAGTACACAAATTACTTCTTAATAAACAGAAATCGAGAGAAAACGAAAGTTTACCTGACAGCTGAAGCTGAATAGCAGACAAAATTTGAGTTAAGAAGAGGCGGTGCCGACGCTCCTCATAACTAAGGGCATGTGCATTTTCTACAAAAATCTCATTTTAATTGCCCTTTCTTAAACGAATCTACTCAAAGAATCATATCAAAATTACAGAAATTAATTTGATGTTACTCACCTAAAGGCTATCATTTGGCTTGGGTAATTGTAGCTTCCACCCAGAACGCCCTGTGAAAAGAATTCCAAATTTAGTAATCGTTTGGAATAACAAAATACCCACTAAAGCAACATAGGGCTTTCTATTGGTGACGATGGGTCTGGAGAACCCTAGGAAATCGGTGATGGTGGCTGATGTTTGGATGATGGTTAATGCGGTGATGGTTTCGATTGGTTATGGTGGAGATGACGATCGAGTTCGTTTAGGGTTTGTGGAGGATGGGGAACTTATTCTCAAATTCAATTTTTGAAACGATAATGGTTGTGAGATTGTGTTTGTCTTGTTATTAGTTAAGAACATCAGCCATTAGATAGTAGCAGGATATCAACGGTCCGTAACCATGCCCGATTGGCAATCTATGTGAGTGGTAAAGATAAATAGATAGATTAAAACTCTTTATTTTTATTGGTTGAAAGAATTTCACACGGATCACCAACAATTAAATCCTAATCGTTCATTTTTGATCCAAAGGTCCATAACTGATTTCCTTGTTTTTTAAGATAACATGCATAATTTTTTGTACCTTAGGCTTTAAAATTTGTACTTAAGACATTATTATGTATGCTTTATAAGATGGTATATATATATATATATATATATATATATATATATATATATATATATATATATAATAGATCACCTGAATTTTTTGGATAAATTTGATGGACTTGTGGCATCGTTGGATTTTGGTTGGATTGGGGACACCTTGATAGAATTCCTAGGAAAGGATCCAAACTGAGAATCACCCAGAGGGGCATTTTTTGATAAATTTGATGGACTTCTTCAACGTGTGCTTCTTTCCATTATGTTCTCTAAATCCAGCAGCAAAAAGATGAATCTCTGGTTGCTTCTGTAAAATTAAATAAATAAAGAACAGTAACTGCAGCATGCTCCATGTGTTGCAGCATCATGCAAAGTCTTCTTTGTCCCTCTACAGACCCCAAACCACCACCCCAATTCAAAACCCTAGCCAAGTCATTCCCAGATCCATCAGGTAGAATGGCTACAGGAGGGGGTGAAAAGTAATTTGGCTTCTTAATTGCATCCAATACCCACCCTGCTATCCCATCTCCTCCACATACAAGAATTCTGAAATGAGGCACTCTTCTGAATAGATACAGACCAATTTCTGGCCCTTCTGTTGAACTCAACTCATATACCTACAAAAAGTTTCATCAAGATTTTAGAAATTTTGCTCAAAAGATAAATCAAGAATCAATCAGTATGAAGCTATGTACCTGAACATCATTATTCCCATCTGGTGTACTTTCTGTAGATGATTCCCCTATACCTTTATCTTTATCTAAATTCACTTGATTGAAATTCCCTTTATTTTTCTTACTTTGATTTGTGATACTTGCTAGAACAGAAGAAGCAATCTCATTGGCTTCATAAGTAATGGAACTCAAGATTCCACCATATGATGATCTACCAAGTCCTTTAACATATATCACCTGTTTCAAATCAATCTTTTAAAAGGACCCATGTCACCTCAGTCCACCTTATAGCCTATTGGTGTAAAACCTGATAAATAAATGCAACAAGACAATAAATGTTGGGGATATTATCCCAAAATCATACAAATGATACATAAAGCAAAGGAAGCTTTAAGGACTCAAACCTGAAGATGTTTAAGGACACAGACTTGAAGAAGCTTTAAGGACTCATACTCAGCTTTGTTGCCTGGGATCATTCAAATCAATCACATAATTCTGAATTCATCCAATTTGAATGGAGTGTTATGTACATTATTACTAGTTTACTACTACGTGCCTGGTAGAATCCTACTAAGTTCCACATTAGACTGACGTTCATTCCAGCAATGGAGAAGTTGAAAAACATGACAAACTTCATAAGTTCTGAAGTGGGAAGATGTGAGGGTTGGATGTAGCCCAGCCACCTAAGAACAAGGGCCATCAAGGTGGTAGTCATAAAATGTAATTCAGTCAATGTTGTTGCTGCCTACAAAGTATAAAGATGTAATTAGTTATAAAGGAATTTTAATATCTTCACAAACCTGAATAGTTGATTTTGCTAGAAACAGAAACACATCAGATGCAGTAACACATCAGTGATGGGTTTTAGTCATAAGAACATCCTATGTGCTCATATAAACCCTAATGCTTGGATCTAGGTTTCTCTAATTGTAAATGAAATTTATCCAAGACTATAAACCCTAGATCTAGCATATGATAATCAATATAACATATAATTAGGGTGTAGATCATACCTTGATTGTTATGTAGCAATAACAATCACAAATCCTTCTTGTAATGACTTTAGAAAGCTTAGAGTCACAAATGTCACTCCTCTAATGGTTCACAAACATCAAGAGCAAGAGGATGAAGAGGAGAAGAGAAGGAGGCTGCCCAAAACCATCCAAAACCCTAGAAGAAAGCTTTTCCACACTTTTGGGGCTTAAGGGTGCTATTTATACATGTAGGCTATTAGGGATTTAAACAAGGAAACCCTAATTCGGATGCTTAAGCCCTAAGCAACCCATGGATTCCTTTCCTAAAGGCCTTGGACGATTTCTTATGGGTTTCCCCATAGAATTCGTCCAACCTTATAATATAAGGTAATCCATAGCCTAATTGCAATTATCTTATAATTACAATCCAGTCCCTTATGTTTAATTAATCTCTTTTAGTCACAAACTTAATTCTTATTAATTCTTGACTAATATAAATTAAACAATATGATTTCTCCTTTAATATATTATTCCCATAATATATTAATAAATCATATTTAATCCTTTCTCTCCATAGTTCATCCTATCAAGTTGTGTTGGTGAAGGCAACCCAAAAGGACCATGCACCATCGGGTCAAGTACATACCAAAATAGTTATGGACTTAGACACTAATCCAACAGTCTCCCACTTGGATAAGTCTAATAACTATTCTGTGTATAACTTTAGATCATGATCTGCAATCGTAGCTTTCCAAAGCCGCAGTCAACTCTGATCCTATCAGATACATGTGTCCTTTAGATAAGGGATCATATATTCCTCCATTCTAGATATCGTATAAGAAATGATTTCAAATCATTCTTTCTGTACTATTTCTCGACTTCCGATTTATGACGACTGACTAATTGAAAAAATCAAATTAGCCCTAGCCCGGCCGAGCATTTACGTTTGTCATCACTAAACCATCGAGGGGCCCAAAGATATCGCTTTTATCCTACTTTGAATAAAAGGAACGGATAAACTTTGACTCAATGCTCGCTTGCACTCACTCACCGAATTGCACATAACAATATGTTTTATAACACCAAGTTACTATTGCGTTTGCATATTGTCAATGTGCAACCTATTTGCAAGATACAACTCACACATCTCGGTTTCAAGAATATATAAGATGTTATCGTCTCACTAATCACCCGTGATAAAAATCCATGAAGTGTTCCAAGTGAGCGTGAGTTTAATCCAATTCTCAAATCATATTCATAAGCACTCATGAACGTTGCAACAAACATTTGCTTATGTCTAATACTCTTTTAGACATTCACACACCAATTCATGATAGTCTTCATTCATACCTACTTCCAACATATGAACGACTGTGGCCCGTTCGAATAATTTGACTATTCTTAACCAATTAAATTATTCAAGAAGTCAAAACATGCAAAGTGAAACATAAGGATAATACTAATCCAATATGGCCCCAAACCCTTGAGTATAAATAAAATACCTTTTATTTATCACCATATCGATTACTCATTATTTGTTTCGGGTAATGAACTTCTTACTTGAATTATAACACTTGTCCTATGCTCTCAGTATGCACACAATGTTTACCTATGGTTCTTACTTTGTGAAATAGATCAAATGAACACATTTCCAATCATACTCATTTCACAACTCCAAATCCTTTTTCATAAGTGTAAGATTATCAAATTCTTGCCACTTATAGAAAATGTTAGATTCTAATATTTTATGCAATGATCCTTTCATAATGTCACTGCACTAAAGTCACAATGACTATTGCCAATGAAATTACAAAGTCCTTTATTGGAGATTGTTACAAGAAAATTCCATAGATGTGATGTCTCTCACTCAAAGTACATTTCTTTGAACATCTTTTTGCATAACGTTTCTAATCTAGACATAGATTCTCAATATCTAACTCCCAATATGGAAACCTTTCCATATTTATCATGTGGAAACTTATTCTTAATAGAATCTTATCTATTCATAATAATGTCGATATGATCCATCCAATACTATACTTCCAACTACTCACAAGCGACCAATCCTCGACGAACTTTGGATTGTCCTTTGACAGTTGTTTAGTTATCTTAGTCAAACCGATTCTTGTCCTTTTTCCCTCTAAATGCGCTTGACATTTGGAAAATTTTAGAATGGTCAAATATTATAGCATTTGCAATCAATCCTATACCCGAAGCGTCTAGGACACGATGCATAATGTCTTACACGAAGATATGATACTTTATCAATCTTCTGCCATAATATTTTATGTGTCTCATTCTTACAATTCGAACTATGAAGAGGGATACCGCAATCATAATCGAAATTTTGAGAACGCACTATTTACTCTTGAATAAATTTATTAACATTCCACAACCTAAGCCTTCAGATTTGAAATGAAGCATAATATTCTCTCCCTTAATTATAGCAAAACAACTATTCATCCCTTAACTTTTCGAGGCATGACTCTTGTTTTCTATAATTAATATTGCTAACTTGCAATACTTGCCTTAATAATCATACAATCATAACATTTATGCTCCCACTATGATGATTATTATAAACATAACACTTATGCTCCCCCTAGCTTTGACATGTATTCAGAAATAGCTTAACTTTTAGAAATTCAACACCTATTGAATTTCTTAAGTCCATGTTTCTAATACCTAATGCTTTGATAATCCTTTATCTAAGCTTATACACCTTTCCTTTAGATAGCTCATATGTGTGTCTAAATAATTAAGACTAATTACCAAATCTCACAATTCGAATCATGGAGAGGGATACCATAACCATAATCAAATTTGAGAATGCAATTTTACAATTGCTATCTTCTTAAAATCTCTCTTAGTGAAAGCATTTTCTCATAGTCATTTTCATGAAGCAAAAATCTTATGACACTTAGATTTTAATGGCGTATGTGTTCCTATCCATGTGAATTTGTCAAAACTAAGGTTTGCAACAAATCCAAACTCATATGGACCGAACATTCTCAATCTTGATTTCCTGCCTGATGGTAACACGACTACCCACCATGTCTTCCAAGTAGTTAAGCAGCTCATCTTTTCCTATCAATGTACTTTCCATTGATCAAGGTCCTTGCCTTTTATGAATTCAAATGAGAACTCATAAAATTCAAATGCATAATTAACTCAACTGGAATGGCACAGAAACAAAATAATGTCAACACGATAGGTTATGAACCTCAAGTGGTGTGCTAGTGATGATCAATAAGGTCTATTTGATTTGTTATTGAAACCTTTTAATACCATTAAGACTCTCACTGACTCCTTGACATATTAGATTCTCTTGTCAATAAACATTCTTTGACAAATATTCAAGAGTTAGTGTAGTTTTTATCAAAACACTTCATAAATAGGTCCTAGTTGGTTTTTGTCTTATCCAAGACATCACAACTTTCCTCGTTTGATGAATGTTATAAACGTTCTTATTACTCAATGTCACAATCTTAACTCTAAGACTTGTTTTGGAACGAAGTATGATTGACTTCTTGATTTAACCATTTCTTCAATTCTTGATTCCTCTTCTTAGTACAATTGTACTAAGACTTACTTAGAGGATCAATTGAGATATGGTTCTTAATCATTAATACCTATCATAATAAAAGGTACTCTCCCTTCTTTTTAGAATAGAGAAACTTTTATCTTTCTGCCTACTTGATTCTTCTTATTCGTTCTGCTTGTTGATTTAAACTTTTACAATCAATTAAGAATTACACTTAATCTTATAAGTGTAATCATATTTGCTAAACTTTTAGTAAATCATGACGAATATCTTTGTTACTCTTGTGGTGGACTTGATCAACACATAACCTTGTGTACTCGATCTCCTACTCCTTCACTTGACACTTTGTCAATGAATTAGTCTAATTTCCAAATGTGAAAGTTTATTCATTCATCATACAATTCTTGTCGTACGAATCCAAATCTCTATCTAATAGAAACTTGGGTGAAGAGAAACATTCCTTATTTGGTAAATTCTCAACATTTCCACAAACAGCATAATTAAGAATCACATCCATTTGTTGTAAAGATACGAACATCAATTCTTTATAACGACTTTATTGCCAGGAAATAAATAAACATGTCGTACAAAATTTATTTTATTTAATTAAAAGCAGCGGAAAACATTTGTCCTTACAATGCAAAATCAACTTAAAAACTATGTAATAAATATTCCTAACAACTCTATCTAAGCTCAAAATCTAATCTTCGAATCCATGCGATCGAGATCCATTTCTTCGTGATTATACTCATCTTGCTCTATTTCATCAAGCTTCCTCTCCTTTCATTGATCTTGCAAAACATTCAAATGCAATCTTATCACATTATGTATTAAGAATCAATGAATAGGAACTTAATGGAGTTAGATAGTGGATTATACCTGAAGTACAGTCATACTCTTTGATTCTCCCATCTTCTGGACTCTTCAGGCTCTTAGGGCAGACTTGTATCCAAGCCCTTTCTCTTGGCAGCAAACGCAGGTCGGTTCTCCTAGAACATCCTCGGAAACATGGTTGGTTGACTCTCCCAACAAATATGCTCCATTGCTTTGCCAAATCATTTCTGATTCAGCAGCAATGAGCATGTAAGTTAGGTCAATGAGGCTTTCGTCATGATCCATCATATAATACTTTCTTTTGAACTCATTATATTATTCGCGAAGTGACTGCAGAACCCAGTTCACAGCCAACTTATCCGGGAATGACACGCCCAACATTCTCAACCTATTAATGTGTGATTTCATTCCTAGAACGTGAGCACACATGTTTACCATCTTCATGTTTCATTTCCAATAGGGCTTTAGTGACATTGAACCTTTCAATTCTTCGATCTTGTGGGTTAGGAGAACAACGGGAGGGGGAGGAGGAAGTGAAGCATGATTTCTTGTTCCTCGATCAAATCGTGGAATATCATCTTCATGTGGAATGCTTGTTCCACGGGACTTGGGAAGACCATAGTTGTTGAAGTTTGACATCTACAAAACGGGAGAAAACAAATTCAAGTTAGTTGATAGATTGAGTCCTTAATAAATCACCCAAATGAGATATTAAGGCTAGGACCCAACACAATACATTACAACCTAGAAAAGGGATGCCGTAATCTAGTTGCAGAATATTTGAAGGTAAGTGAATGACGATTCACTAATTTCCACCATGAAAAAGCGAAAAACAAATTTAAGTTTTAAATCTATGAAAACTCCTAGATCCTTTGAGATTCATTAAACATTTCAATGGCATGTTTAAATCTCGATATGCCCCTCTAGTTTGTGACTGGGATGCTGAGGATCAAAAAGCGGGTGTGAATAACCATGCAAACTTACATGGTGCCCTCACATGTTACGGTTACCTATTCGATGTGCCGGTAAACCAAACACGCTCCGCCGAACTATGACTAACATTGAGTCACCCTTTGCTACCTTTGCTTAGAACCATTTAGTGTGCCGGTAAACCACACACGCTCCACTAACGTCTTCGCAATGGCAAGAAGTGTAATTTCATGGAATTGCATCAATTCACTTTTGCCTAAAGTAACTAAGATTGGGAATTTGTAAAAACATTTAGTTCCTTTTGTACTTCATTATACTTCTAATGGAAGGTTTTGTCGTATCCTACCCGTTCGGCTAACGACCCTCCACTAGTCAAGAGTGCGGTGGGTAAGAGTGGATACCCATTCAATCGCCATTTTATAGGCAATTTCCTTAAACTCCCTTTATAGACCAGCTTCGTGAATGAGACCTACTAACTGTAAGACTGACTTTTTACCCATACATATATATATATATATATATATATATATATATATATATATATATAATGTTAGACTTTTAATGTTATATATAGTAGAGGGTGTATTTTACACTTTTAAAATACTAGGTGGTCATACTCATCAATTATACCTTTAATTCAATTAAATTGTAAACCTAAACTTTTATGGATTTATTAAACCTCTTTTAATTACACACCTTAATTAATTAATAAAACCATAAGGGTGTGATTTGAACTTTTCAAAACAATACTAGGGTTTAAGAATTTAACATTTCTAAATTAACATTTAATCAACATTTAAAATCAAAAACTTGAGGGCAGGTTTTGAAACATTTCAAAACATTAGGTTTAGAATTTAAATATACATCAAAATTAAACTTTTTAATCAAAATTTAAATTCCAAAACTTGAGGGCAAGTTTTGAAACCTTTTCAAAACATTAGGGTTTCAACTATTTGCATTTCAAAACTAAACTTTTGAATTTAAATTTAAACTATAAAACCTAAAGGGGAAAATTGAAACTTTTCATAATACAAGGATCAAATAACAAATAATACAAATTAAACAATTAATTTCATCATTATCTATATTTGACCTAATTTCAATTTCTTGCAAAATAAGTTACCCAATTAATACAAATAATCAACTTTAATCATATAAGGAAGTTATTATCTAATCAATTGGTAATTATCTTTTGTTTTATCAAGGATATACTCATAAAATTGATTAAAATCGGATTTTATTGATCTACAACAGCTAAGGCAATTATCCATGAGAAAAACAGCAAGAAATCCCGAAATCCCCTCTTTCTAACGCTCAAACTCGCCGAGTACCCATATGGACTCGCCGAGAAGGGGCCTACTCGTCGAGTCCACAATGGGACTCGTCGAGTCCATCAGGAAGGCTCACAAAAATCGAATTTTTTTAGCATGAAAAAATTAACAAGGCATCAATACCATAGAAACCAATCTAGGCTCTGATACCACTGATGGGTTTTAGTCATAAGAACATCCTATGTGCTCATACAAACCCTAATGCTTGGATCTAGGTTTCTCTAATTGTACATGCAATTTATCCAAGACTATAAACCCTAGATCTAGCATATGATAATCAATATAACATATAATTATGGTTTAGATCACACCTTGATTGTTATGTAGCAATAACAATCACAAATCCTTCTTGTAATGACTTTAGAAAGCTTAGAGTCGCAAATGTCACTCCTCTAATGGTTCACAAACACCAAGAGCAAGAGGATGAAGAGGAGAAGAGAAGGAGGCTGCCCAAAACCATCCAAAACCCTAGAAGAAAGCTTGACCACGTTTTTCGGGCTTAAGGGTGCTATTTATACATGTAGGCTATTAGGGATTTAAACTAGGAAACCCTAACTTGGATGCTTATGCCCTAAGGAACCCAGAGATTCCTTTCCTAAAGGCCTTGGACGATTTCTTATGGGTTTCCCCATATAATTCGTCCAACCTTATAATATAAGGTAATCCATAGCCTAATTGCAATTATATTATAATTACAATTCCAGTCCCTTAAGTTTAAATAATCTCTTTTAGTCACAAACTTAATTCTTATTAATTCTTGACTAATATTAATTAAACAATATGATTTCTCCTTTAATATATTATTCCCATAATATATTAATAAATCATATTTAATCCTTTTTCTCCATAATTCATCCTATCAAGTTGCTTTGATGAAGGCAACCCAAAAGGACCATGCACCATCGGGTCTAGTACATACCAAAATAGTTATGGACTTAGACACTAATCCAACAATCAGTACCATATATTTTATCCGGATCAATCAAAGTGGTCAAAAGCCATCGATAATAATCCTTCTAAAGAGAAAGATAAAATATTTACAATTTTAATATCTTAACAAACCTGAATAGTTGATTTTGCAAAAGGGCATTTTAGACATGTTGCATTGTTTTGAGCTTTTTGGGTATATAGAGTTTGCCCTAATACTTGTTGAAGGAATTGCACATGATTGAGAATGTTTTGTATAGAACGAGCTCTTAAAGACGATGACTTCAAAATTTTCACATAACCTGAAACCAATAAAGATGGTGCTGATAGGATTGAGAATGTGTATCAGAAATCAATCCTTTAATCTAGATAAGTTGTTAGAGGCATTTTATAAACAGGTGGTGTGCACCATGAAAAACATGTGGAATTAGTCTATCTAACGTGAATGAAATTAGATTAGAAACAAATGTTTCATTCCCCCTGAACCTTGACCCATCATACTTTTCTTCATGACGGTCCCCATCCGGTGAAACATCGTTGGCTCTCGCCTGCTTCGTGTCCACCAGAACTGGAGGGTAAAGCCTCATGCTTTCACAGAGACTAGCATAAGTATAAACCATATCCTGCACTTCATCATAAATGGAGGAATCTAAATTCTCTTTGTCTTTGACTTCGTTCACAACTTCAATTTCGATCGTTGGATTCTTGTAAAGTAACCAGAAGAACCACGTCAAAGCCGCCGATGTTGTATCTCTTCTGGCAAGTATGAAGCTGATTACAATATCTGTCAGATGTTTTTCATCCAAATGAATAGAGTTCAGAAACCGTGAAAAGAAATCAACGAGTTCGGTCGTGAGTGCTTGTTTCTTTTCGTTCAATATGTTTGTGGTGAACTGACGGTTCTCGACAACTGCTTTTTTAAGTCATTTCTCGGATCCGATGTTAAAAAACCTTTCGACGTTAAAGATTCCATCTCCAAGCAGATCGAAGGGGTTGACCGGAAAATATCACCTCTTTGGTATGGTGAGAATTTAGTCTTGAGGATATGTTGAACGTTTGTGGGGTTTCCCGTGAGCATACGGTTTTGAGCGAAAGGACGGCTGAGTAAGAAAGTGAAGTAGCAACCAACAAATGAAATTGAAAGGTAGAGGCGCTACACTCCTTTTTTTTTCGTGTCACCACACATCAACATTGAGAAATCTAGAACCCCTGCGGGTTTGATCTGTTCAAAAGACGTGATCAAAGATCTAGTGATATTGCGATTTTGTTGTGGGAGAAAAGAGGATTGGTGATGATATTAGGGTTTTTTTTGGTATTAGAGTGAGAGAGATATAGAGAGGGAGAGAGATAGAAAAGAACGGTGGAAATTAGGTAAAGGATAACAATGGCGGCCTTTCAAACTTTTGGGATTTTCGTTTCCCCCAGTTGCAAAAGAAGAGAACGCACCTTTCATTATAAAAATATAAAGCGACATTTCTAGACGACACACAGTTTTAAATAAGTGCCCTCCATGTTTTTTTTGTTGGACATTAATTTCAGGGCACGCACAAAAGCGTGTCTTCTATCCTTCAAATTTTAGAAGAGATAACATTATTTTTAGGGCACATGCTTTACGTATCGTAAATCACCGCGTGTCATTGTTTTCGCATCATTAAAGGTCTGTTTTCTAGTAGTGGTAGTGTCGTTGAAGCCATCTGGGAGACGAAGATTAAGTTGACAAAGGATGTGGCGAATACAGAATCTTGGAATGTGGTTGGTTAGCGTGAAGCTTTGGCCAAGTTGATTGGTAGGCATGTTAAAGTCATTCATGATCCTGTAGAGAAGAAGAAGACAAGAGAGGAAGGGAAGAAGGAGATAGAGGATACCTAAGATGTGGGTGATCAAACCTTTAATTAGATTTAACTATATTTTTTTTTAAAATTAATTTTTTGGTCTGTAAAACAATATTTTATTTTGTTAGGTTGGAGGGCAACCCCTTTTAGATTTGATGCTTTGGTTTTTCTCTTTTCTTGCGTGGTTGCTTTAGTTTTAGACGTAGAATAATTTTTTAAAAGCTTTTTGGATAATTAAGATCCTAAGAAGTTTAGAGTTTATACAAACTATTGGTACCTTAATAATCTAAACTAAATAACTATCTGATTAGGATCCTGTAATATCTAGGATCCTTAAATTTTATTTTCAAAATCTTGAAAGTTTTTTTAGAACTTTTTCAAAGTAAAAGAACTGTAATGACAATCTTAGGTGTAAGGATATATAGAACCTCATGTCAACTTAAAATCCAATTGATCTTTTGGTCATCTCTCTGAACATTTATTTAGATAGGTTTTATCATCTTGAAGCGAGTTCTTCTGAATATGTTTTTGGAAGATGATCCCAACTTAAGAATTTACTAGGAAAAGTCCCAACTCATGTAATATTAGGAAAGCTCCCATATAATAATTAAGTGGGGAAGATCCCAACTTAAAAAATATAGGGGAAGATCCCAACTTAACAAATATTGTGGAAAATCTCAACTTAAGAAACACTGGCGAAAATACTGGTGAAGATCCTAACTTAGATTATATCGGAGAAGATCCCAATGTAGATTATAATGGGGAAGATCTCAACTTAGATTATACTGGGAAAGATCCCAAATTGTAAGATAACATGATAATACTATAAACCATAGATTTTACTGGGGAAGATCCAAAATCGTAAGATAACATGATCATTATTAGGGCTAGGATCCTCAAAACATTATGGATCTTCAAACCTCATGAAATATTCAGGATCTCGACTATTACTGTTATTATTATTATTACTAACATTTATAACAGTTGTATTTCATTTTTAATTGACACATGTTCAAAAATAGTCAAGAGAAGACTTATTCTCAACAGAGAGTTGTCTCAACTATGCTAAAGAACCGGAATACCAAGTCCAACAACGTTCACACATCTAGACATAGAGGATTCCAAGAATATCAAACATCATATTAGCTGGTTCAGACTATTAATTGAGACATGTATCTTCCACACAACACACACAATTTAATCTTAGCATACTCTACGAACTTTTTCACTTGTTCTTACTAAAGTACTCTCTATAATCATCATTTTATATTAATAAAATCATCAAGGCAAGTGATCATTATCACCTCCCAAGGTTTTGTGTTAGTGATCCTAGCAAGGATCAAGGGCTTTCCTTGTAAATAATTTTTTCATTCTCTTTACCTTTCTCTATTTCACAATTCGAACATCAAAGCCTCTCATTCAGTTTGGTTGATTTATACTTGTGTAATTTTTGACCAAAACAATTTCGCGCCCACCATGGGGTCATGGTGCTCAAAATCCTTGAAAGATCATGTCTATACAACCGATCCTTTCTTTATCCTCCGCTCCTTCCATTCCAACCAAAAACCTACCACCTCCTCCAAGTGGAACCCCTATTCAGAGGAAAATGCATGATACTTCCAATAAAAACACCCCTCCGAGCACTAACCAAGGACGTTTGGGATCTTTAGGACTCTAGGATCTAACTACTACTGCACTCTTCTCTTTGATGAGGAAAATGATGCAACATATGACTCAGCAAAGAGAGAGAAATAGAACACTACTTAGAGAAGTGGAGAGGATGAAGGCGAAATTTAAAGATCCCAGGAAACGATGCCCACAGTTGTACAACCAAGGATCCTAAACTTCGACAATACGAGATCCTCAAGAAATCAATAGGGAACACAACTCCTGCTACTGTTGCATCACTCTGGAGGATGACTATGAACAATCGAGCATCTATGATCAACGATCTCGACGAGCCTATCAATACTAACTCTCTGAATGTTGATGCAGGAATAAGTCCAAACTGATGGGTTTTGAGCATTCTAACACTCCTATGGTGTACATGCAACCATAGAAACCTTGGATCTACGTTTTCTCTAATATTCATGCAAATAAGAATTTTCCAAGGTTTACATCCTAACTAGCATGGCATCGGGTACTTGTAATATAAAAACTAGTAGAATGACATACCTTTGTAGTTGCTTGGATTCCTTAAGACTTTGTGTGCCTAACACCTCAAGTGTGATGCCTCAAATGTTTCACACAACACCACAACTCTTGGAATAACTTGACAGAAGAACACTTTTATCACAAAATCAGCTAGCCCTCCTTGTCTTGCATTAGTTCTTATATAGTGTGCCACATGTAGGGTTACACCATTTAAAACATAATGTGCATGGCTTTTCATTTTCCCCATGATCCATGGGTTATAACCTCCATGGAGCATCCATGGAGCACCCAATGGGTCCTAGCCCAATCTAGTGAATCATGAACCATAAGCCCACTATATATAAGAATGAATGATTTACAAATCAAAACTCCATCTATTTAATTAGTCTCTTTTTGATCACAAAATTAATTCCAAATTAATTCTTGGTCAACACTAATTAAATAATATGATTTCATATTAATATATTAGAACTTATAATATATTAACAAATCGTAAGTTTCTTTTTTTTTCATTTTGTCTATCCAACAGTTGAGATGAAGATGCAACCCAAATGGACCATGCCAGCCGGGTCAAGTACATACCAAAAATAGTTATGGGCTTAGACACCTAATCCAACAGTCTCCCACTTGCATAAGTCTAATAACTATAACTGCAAGTATGACTTTAGGAACCGATCAGCAATCGTACCTCTTTCAAATTCTCGCAAAACTGAGATGATGATGCACCATTTAAGATAAGGGATCATATAATCCTCTATTCTTGATATCAACCGAAAAAATACGTGGAACAATGTCGTACTTATTGGCTAGTAGTTTGTTTCCTGATTTCCGGATTTTTTGACATAGAACTAAACTAAAAACATCAATTTGGTTCTGACCGGGCCCAATACATAGGTCAATACAAAATCATCGAGGGGCCCAGATATCAGTTTTAATACCCCAAGGGCTAAAAGGAATAGATAAACTTCGACTCATATTCTTGTTCTACTACTTGTTGAATCAAACACGAAAGCACGTTTTATAAGATCGAGTTAACAATGCATTTTCATACAACCAATGTATAACCAACTCATCGTCAGCAAATCATATCTCTAGGTTTGAAGACTTATATGATATTACCATCTCATGATGACTCGAGATAAATTCCATGAAGTGATAAAAGTGAGCGTGGATTGAATCCAATACTCATAACTTATGAGTACTCATGACTGTTGTAGCAACCATTTACTATGTCTAGCACCTTAGACATCTACAAACCCAATTCATGACAGTCTTGATTCATAGCTACTTCCAACATATGACTGGATGTAGAGAGTTTGAATAAAGACATTATTCTAGAAGTCAAAACATGCAAAATTAAAACAATACTAAATAATTCGCATAAGATAGCAACACCTTACTTATAAATAAACAACAACTTTTATTCAATCATCAAATGTCAATTTATATTTTACAAGTTTCAGAGATAGCTATCTAATCTATAAAGCTAATGTCATCCTTTAGCCTGATGTGCCTCGCATGTTGCAAACGCTTAACCCTACACAATCCCCTAGTGAGAGGATCTGTTGGGTTTTCATCTGATAATACCCTCTTCACCATGAGGATTCCTTCTTCTATCCGATGTCTATTGAAATTGTATTTTCTGTCGATGTGTCTAGATCTCCCGTGATCCCATGGTTCCTTCGCTAAGGCAATAGCACCCTCGTTGTCACATAAAATCTCCACAGGCTCCTTAACAATTGGTTCAACTCCAACGTCTCCAATGAAGTTTTTTAGCCATATAGCCTCCTTTTCCGCCTCGCTTACTGCTATGTACTTTGATTCGCAAGGTGAATCAACCACTGTTTCCTGCTTGGAACTTTTCTAAGTAATCGCACCTCCATTTAGGGTAAAGACCCAACCCGAATGACAGTGGAAATTATCCTTATCAGTCTGGAAGCCATCATCACTATACCCCACTACTCTCAAGTCATCACTCCCACCAAGGGTAAGGACCCAGTCCCTATTCCTTCGTAGGTACTTGAGAATATTTTTTCACCATAGTCCAGTGAGCCTTTCGTGGATTCCCTTGATATCTGTTGACTATGCTCAA